CATGGTTTACAGGAATCAGCCGAGGAGTGTGGTCCTCTCACTATCACAGGCTGGCCACAAGGCAGGAGCTCCCCGGGCAATCCCAGGCTTTACAAAGATGGCCAGGGCGCTGCAAGTCTGGGGGTGTCTCATCCACCTCCTGCCTGATAACCAGGAGCCCCCAGGAGATGGCGTCATGTAGGCTCAGGATCAGGGACAATCCGGGCCCCAGAGAGCTACATCACCTGCATCTGTGGCTTATTAGTGACCTTCAAGGATCCTGGGAATGGAGCTGACTCCGCTCAGAGGGCCGGCAGTGTGCCTTGAAGGAGACATTGCAGAGAAATAACCGCTGCTGCCTGAACCGGCCAAATGGGCCACGCCCTCCTCAGCAGCAGTCTCTCTGTTTTCTCTGTGGTCCTCACAGTTTTACACAGAAAGGCAGAGCCCAGAGCCACACAACTAGGCAGGTCCATAAGTGGGATTCCTCCTCATGCTGTCTACATCCAGAGGCCGGATTTAACCACAGGGTGACTCCATGGGGAGCGGGCAGGCCACATCATGGCACAAGTGAGCACCCCAAAAACAACAGCCCCCCCCACCTTTCTTCTTCTCAACATTCCAGTTTTGTTTTCTGGTGACTTCTATCCCTCAGAAAGCTTGGTTCCTCAGTGCTTGATTTTTGGATCATCCTGGTCTCCAACTCAGTCACCCTAAGCAGAATTAGGTTCCTCAGCGATGACAGAAATGTCACCTCTCATGGACGCTCCTTGGCTAAGCATCACTTTTGTAAGTCCCCTTAATGAGAGTGACTTTTTTGGGGGAGGGGAGGCAGGATGTCTTATCCCAGGCTGACCAGGAGCTCTCTCCCAAGAATGATCTACATGATTCTCTTGACCATCACATGCCAGATTACAGGCATGTGCCACCACATCTGATTTATGGAGGTGTTAAGGATTGTACCCAGGGCTTTGTGGGTGCTAGCCAAGTGCTCTACCAATTGAGCTACATTCCCAACCCCTCTATTAGACTTTTAAATCTTGTGTCTTTTACACACATTTTAAATTTTGACCTAGGGGAATATGTTGCTAGCCATAACATTGCTAAAGCTAAAAATGAAAACACTGTGGGCATGGTGACACCTGCCTTTATTCCCAGCACTTGGGAAGTAGAGGCAGGCAGATCTCTGTGAGTATAAGGTCAGCCTGTCCTACATACAGTTCCAGGTCATCTGGGCCTATATAGTGAGAGACTGTCCCAAAAGGACCAAAAGCAACTGAACATTAACAAATGTTTTGAGTGGTGAGTAGATGGTGGGATTTTGTTTTGTTTTGTTTGTTTTTTGTTTGTTTTTGCAATGACTGGTCCAGGCTTCATAGGTCCTGAAGTACATAGGGGTAAGTAGTCTGAGATAGGAGTGGCGTCCACATTTCAGTTCCCTTCTTGAGCTGGGACACAGAAGGCTGGGCCGAGCCTCCGGCTACTCTTACCCAGGAGTACTTGCCTCCTACCCAGACTTTTAGCCACTGCAAAGCAGGGCTGCCCCTGGAGCACCGTGGAATCCGCTATCAGCACCTGCAGTCCATGTGTCTTATCTCGGTGGCCAGGACCGCTCCTGCCCAGCCTCCTGCTCAGATTGACAATGTCACAAAGCAGGCCGGTCTTGCCCCTCCCCATGACTGATGATGGATGGTGGGAGACTCTGGTGGCCTGCTGTAGTTCCCAAGGGGTTTTTGTTTTTGTGGTTTTTCTTCTCTTCTGAGTGTGTGTGGTAGCAAAGGAAGGAAGTGAGAATGGGAATACAGTGTAGTGCTGCCTCCTGCCCCCGCCCCCCACAGCCTGGTCAGTGGTGAGAGGCTCTGCAGGAAACACCTCAAAGTCACTGAGGGTGTTCCCCCCATGAATGTGGCTTGCTGAGGTCTGGGGCCAGGAAGGAAGGAGCCAGGACCAGCAGGCAAGGAAGGAAGAGGGAGAGGCTGGGAAGGCACGAAGGTGACAGGCTGACCGCCACCTCCAGTACCCTCGAATCAGGACCTCTGTGGACCGCCTGACTTGTCCCTAAGCTCCCTCCCTATCAGCTACTCCATTCTATGGGACTAAACCTCAGAAAGGAAAGGGACCATAGGTTCCAAGATGCAGAGGACAGGGCTGAGACAACTGGCCCATGACCCCAGTCTCGTGGCTGCTTCAGCATGGCACACTGAGCCCAGGGGACAAGGAGAGAAATCATCACAGAAGGCCTTATGAGAAATCAGCTGAAGACAGAGAGAGTGGTGGAGAGGAGGGGGCCCCGGTGGAGGCTGGGGACCAAGGGATAGTTGGCAGGTGCTAGGCTTGGAGACTGAGAGGCAAAGAAGGTGCTTCCAGGCTCCCCTGCTTGTGAGCAGAGCAAAGAGGCTGGGCAGAGGCTCCATCCTGTGGGACAGGCTGGCAGTGCTGACAAGGGCTAGCAGATCCCATGACCACACACACACACACACACACACACACACCACACTTGCCAGCCAATTAGTCAGTGAGTCCCAAAGTAGTGCTTCGAGACAGTTCATGTCCTCTCAAGCTTGGCCTGGACAGCAGGATGGTCAAGGAGACACCCTAAGGAGTCTCTCTGGTCATGGGGGTAGGAGGTTCCCAAACCGCACCACTCTTAGGGCTGAGGAGCCACCAGTCAGAGCCAGAAGAGTCCTTCATTGTCCCTCTTGTCCTCAGTCCCCTGATTTGTACCCTTGGCCTCTGGCTACCTGTGACCTTAGGGAGGGGGCCCCAGGCCCTAGTCACTGCCAGGCTCCTAGGAATACATGCTGATGCTCCTTGCACAGGCATACTTCTAGTCAGGAAACCTGGATTTCCTGTTTCCAGGTCTAGGAACCCCGAGGAAGACAGTCTGGAGTCTCTAAGAAGAACAAGGCTCGAGTCCTTCCTCATGCTCTGTGACGCTGCTCAGCCTTGGGCACACCCTCCAAATCTCTCTCTCCTAACAGACATGCCCACCCACCTCACTCTACTGAACACTCGAGGTCCCATTCCACTTCACCGGGCCCCTGGCCCCATTGCCACACTCGGGATCACCTTTCAACATTGTCTTGCAAATTATGGCCTGGCTGGGTCTTGGGGTCATAGGGAGGCCAGGGGCCTGGCTTTATGGCTAGCTCCTGTTCCACCCTCCTCAGCCAGCTCCATGCTAGCTCCTCTGGCTGGAAAGCACTGACAGCATGCCCATTTCACAGCTGGAAATATTGAGGCACAGCCAGGTACAGAGACTTGCCTGCAGACTCATCTGGATGCTCAGCCCTGAGGCTCAGGACATACAGGATGTGGCCCTGCTGGACCTGGTGAGGGGCCTGGGACTCACAAGTAGGGTGTGCGGGAGGTAGAGGGCTCTCTGGGGAGAACTTGTCTAAGCTAAGGTTTCTGTCACCTCTCAGAACCCTGTCTGCACTGCCAGCAGAACTCTGGTGGCCACTGTGGGACACGCGGGACCGAGCAGGGACTCCTGGCCAGTGAATCGGCCATTTCCCCTTCCTCTCCGATAGAGGTTCTTCTCACACTCTGAACTCTAGGTTATGAGGTTTCAAGGCCACTTGCCCTCTCCAGGTCTCAGTTTCCCTACTAGCAGGAAGGACTGCTTATCAAGTATCAACATTTCCCGGCCTTCACCTCTGGCTTTGGAGCCTGGGAACCTCAACAACTTCACTTCCTCATTCCTGCCCTGCCTATCCTTCCCCATGGAGGTCTGGATCTCCCCGGCTGGGCTGACCTGGCCCTGGCATCCAGCCCTGATACACACGGTGATGGTGGTGGTGGTGGTGGTGGTGGTGGTGGTGGGTGGTCACAATGCCCCTGACACCTGCTCCTAGAAGGAGCTATGAATTCTGGACATCCACCCCAGGGCTCCCAGCAGACTCAGACGTGGGTGGATGGCTCTGTGCTCCAGTCCCAGCACAGGGAGGGGAGGCAGATCAGCCCAGGCATTAATTACCCTTTGGCTACTTATATCCCAGGGAGAGGATATAGTCTGGAAGAGCAGGGAAAGATGTGCTGTCCACTCACCTCATACTGCAGTGTTTTAGAACTCTGGTCTTATACTTGAGGAAGGAAACTTCCCTGGGCTTTTAGGACCCCAGGCCACCTGCAGGTAGGTACCTGACCCCACATAAGCTAGTGCCAGAGTCAGGCTCAGAGCTGCAGGGGAAGCCTGCTGGAGAACAGTAGGGTAAGCGAACTGTCACAGTTTATACCATCAGTTCCCTGCCAATCCCCTCTTGGCTCACAGCCTCCCGGGAAATTAGAGCCATCAATGCAAATAAGGCCCCAGCCTTGTCCCTCGGGCTATAAACAAATCTCAACAGGTGTACTGTCTCCTGGAAGTGTACCCACGGCTGAATGAACGCGCATGGCTACCTTCCCACCCATACCCACCGCCACCACCCTACACGCACAGTAACCCAACAACTTTTATTGCTGGAAAGTCCCTCCTGCATGAAACCAGAATACCTCAAGCTGCAGAACCGGTGTTCACCAGGGCTCAGGCTACCCAGAACGGGGCAGAGTACTGCCCACCCCTTCTGGGCAAGACCAGCATGGTATCTGAGGTTAGTGGACCCAGGGTCCTGGTGAAGGGCTGGCTTTGTTTTGTTGCTTTTTAAATGAATTTGTTTTTACTTTATGTACAGGTGTTTTGCCCGCATGTACGTCTGTGCACCACACACATGAATGCTCACAGAGGCCAGAAGAATGCATTGGGTCCTCTGGAATTGGAGTCACAAATGATTGCTTATTGTCACGTGGGTGCTGGGAACCCAACCAGGGTCTTCCAGAGAGGGAACAAGTGCTCTTCAGCTCTGAGCCATCTCTCCAGCCCCTGAAGACCTGGATCTGCAGCTACAGGGAGGGGCTTTTCCAGCTCAGGACTTGCATGAGTCATCCCATTCATTCAGTCGTCAGCAAAGGGCCTGCCGACCTACCAGCTGGGTGTCCCACATCACCCCTCCCAAGCAGCTTAGTTTGCCCAACCGTAGGCACTATTTTGATTCGTATTTATTTTTAGAATGCTCGGCTCCTCACTACAGTGGGGATATGCTGGACAGTTAGAGAGGGAGGCCCTCCCTGGCCTGAAGTCCTCCAAGGAGCCTCGGCCACCCCAAAAGACTCCCCCACAAATGCCTGGAATGCCTCCACTCTTGGCTCCCCCTGACTGAGCAGCCAAGCACTGAGACCAAAAATTCCATGCTCCAGGCTTCACAGATGGGGGCAGGGCCAGAGTGACTCACTGGGCTCCCAACTTGGGGTCAGTCACAGGGAGGGTGACAGACCCTCCGCCTACCAGGCTCCTGCCTGACAGTCAGCCAGCCAGCCCTAGATGCAGGTGATGAGCACGTCCACAGAGGTGGGCACTTCGATCTCTTCAAAGAGTACACGGCGCGGGGAGGGCCTGACCTCGGGCGCTGCCCTCAGCAAGTCTTGGGTATGCTGCAACAGACTCTGGTTCCTACGGCGGCCGAGTCTACGCAGCGCCAGAATGGCCAGTATATGGTCACGCCTGTGGAGACATGGGGGTCCTTACTGCAGAGCGCCCCGCCCCCAGGGAGGACAGGAACCCAGGCTTGGGAGGAAGTATGATTCACCCAGCATTCCTGGAGCTGGGTCAGAGAGGCTGAAAGGCTGGGACCATCCCAGGCCGGGAGGGGATGAGGGCTCTAAACGGAAGCGGGATTGTGGACCTGTGCACAGCAACTGAACCTAGAAGCACACAGGCATGCGACGGGGGAGGGAGCATGCACGCAGTCGAAAGAAGCTTTGCTCAGAGGCAGCACAAGGAATCTGACCTAGGGAAGGTTCCAGAAACTAGCAGAACGCTAGGGAGGTGGAGGCCAGGTTGCAGGCTGGGGAACGTCCTCGCAGTATGCAGAAACAAAGCAGCGGCAGGGATGGGGGATGGGGAGGCTGGAGGGGGGCGGTGAGTGGGGGAGAGGCAGGTGCAAAGGGGCACCCTGAGACACTGCCTCCCCACAGGTTCCCCACAGCCGTCCAGGGCCGCCCTTGAAGCCAGGAAGGGAGGGCCAGACCCGGGCTGGGGAACCTCTAAGGGGCGGTAGGGAAATCGCAAACTTAGAAGGAGGCTAGCAAAATCTGGCAGAGCAAACCGACTGCTGGTAGCCAAGAACCAGGGAAGGGGCTGGACTAGGGGTTTTCAGCGGCCTTTCCATCCCGGAATCTCCGAGCGCATTGGAGGGAGTCGAACCGGGATTTCCACGGGGGTCCGATGACTCAGTACCCCTCACAGCCCCGGGTCTGAGCCTCCTTCCTGTCGAGGCCTCAGAGGGATTCTAGAGAGGGTTTACACCCGGGGGGTGGGGGCCACGTTGTCCACGGGTGATGGAGAACACCAGGGAGAGGTGGCCCTTTCGCCTTCGCTCCCGGTGACCCTCCATCGTGCACATGCGCTCACGGTCCATAGAGGTTCGCTCTGGGGCTTAGGCTCAGTTCTCTCAGCCAGGACAAGCTCACTCCTCCCCCTGCTGCTCGCCTGCACTCATGGCCAACAGGACGCTGCTGAAGGCCCGAGTGCCAGGTTCCAGCGAACCCTGACTCTCGGTCAGAAGCTAGTGGGGGAGGAGAGTCTGCAAACCTGACGTCTGGGTAGCTTCGTATAAGTGTCTCCAGGTGCCGCCGGATGTCGTCTTTGTAGGTCTCGCCCAGGATCTCAGCCACGCACAGGATGGCTTGGTCCAGCCACATGGCTTCAGAGCCCTGAGGAGACAGGGAGATGTGTGCTGCGGTCCACCTCCCCATAGAGTTCCTTGCGTACAACCCCCCCTTAGTGCCCTGCTGCACCCATCCCATGTATCTGCCGCCGGTGGCTTGCCCATCGTAAGACGCCACGGGGCGGGGGGGCGGGGGCGGAGGAGACATCTGCAATGATTCTATAGAGATGTCTTCTTATCTACACAGATGGGAAATCCGAGTCCTGACCAGGGAAGTGTTGCTTGGAACCTGTCACCAGTAGGAGACCAGCAGCCCAGATAAGGGGTTTGAGCATGGCTCAAAGTGTTCCAGTCCGAGTGGGGAAAGACCTCCCACAGATCTTGCCCATCATAACCCTTATCCCTTCACCTTCATCCACAACTGTATGCAAATATATCGGAAAGTGACACCGCCACCTGGGTCTGTCCCTCTTGAGTCCAGTGTGCCCCCCCCCACACACACACAATGGAGTCTGAAGAACTAGTGTAAGCTCTCTTCTCCACTACCTGCTCCTGCACCTGCCCTGGGGGCTCCTTACAGGATGAGAAGAAATGAGAATAGGAAGTGCCTGACTGGCCAGAGATGGAGCACTGCTTGCCATTCAGATACTGCTCCTACCAAGTCCTTGAAGGTGCTGCTGATGGCCTGGGCATCCAGGCTCATCTTATGGGAGCCGTTCACACGATCCAGGCCACTGAACCTCTCGTGTGGCCTCAGCACCTGCCCGAGGTACTCGCGGACCACAAAACGGTGCACTTCCTGCAGAGTCTCCTGGGAGAGTGAGGGTAGGGTCAGGATCAAAGGCATGGGCCTTGCACACCCATGCCAGCCTCCCCCCACCACTTCCTGGTACCTGTGCCAGTGGTGGGGTCACATGCTCAAGGTGATGAGCAAAGTCCACCACCTTGTCCATGAGGGGACGCAGTGTGTCCTGTGTGAGCCAGCTCTTGGTATATAGCACCTTGAATAGCGGCTGGGGACAGAGGGACATGGGAGTAAACTCTGTTCATCATTCCTAACCCCCTTCACCGCTGGGTTCTCTTGTGCCATCCTCTTTTCTAGGCACAAATTTTATCACTGGGTCTTTCCCAGAATGCCTCCTCCAATGGGCATGGTTTGAGTTTAGTGGCTTGTCAGGCCCTGCTTAGGGTGTGTGCTGAATACACCTTGACTTGCTGGTCGGGGGGGGGGGGGGGGGGGGGCTCTAGGCCTTTTTTCTTGGCCCACTATCCCAGGGCCTGGGTGTTCACCACCAACAGGAAGGAACTGCAGTGAGATGGGAGGTGTTTCCCAACTGCCCTTGCTCAGCTGGGAGCTCATTTAGGGCAAATGAGAGCTGGGAGTTAGGCATGGAACTTAAGGGAATGGATGGGCACCGCTGGGCATGGGAAGTGTCCAATCACCTGCATGTCTTGCTGTACAATCTGGAGCAAGTGCTTCTGGAAGCTGTTGGTAGCAGCCACTAGGGGTTTCTCCAGTTCCTTCATGGTTCCTGGGAACCTGGCCAGAAGGCTGGTTCTGTGGAGGGGCCAAGACAAGTAATAAGCTGGGCCAGGGGAAGCAGGCTGGAGAATAAGACCCACCTAGCACAGCCCTGCAGATGGGGCACTGCACTAATTCCATTCATATACCAGGGGTTCTCAACCTTCCTAACGCTGTGACCCTTTAATATAGTTCCTTATGTTGTGGTGACCACAACCATAAAATTATTTTCATTCCTTCTTCGTAACTGTACTTTTGCTACGGTTATGAATTGTAATGTAAATATGCAAGACATCTGATATGAGACTTCTGTGAAAGAGTTGTTGGACTCCCCCCCCCAGGGTCTCGACCCACAGGTTGAGAACCGCTGGTTTAGACTGTGCTGTGAAGGGCAGTCCCTGGAGGGGTGCATAGTAACAGCCATGGGGGCAGAACTGAATTGAGAGGACAAGGTTAAAGCTGTGAGAGCCCAGCATAAACCCTTTCAGCAGAGCACCAGCTCAGCTCCATGACATAGGTCCCATATGGCAGCTTTGAGACAGTGCTCCATGCCTCTTGGTGATGGGACATTGTAGCAGAGCCATGCCTGCCACAAGCTCTCCACTGAGCTGCATCACTGCCTTGAGGATGACAATATCCCATGTCACTGCTGAGAAAACTGAGGACCAGACTATATGCATGCAGTACACAGCGCTGCCTATCAAGAGGTGGAGAAAGCTTCCTGGGGCTGAGTGGTCCCCGCTCCCAACCCCCGGACCCCTCATTGCTGAAGTGGAGCCCAGCACAGTTAGGCAAGAGAGTGCTGGGAAACGGAGCATCAGTGTGGCCACTCTTTGGACACAGGCAGGCCTGGTTGAAGCTCTAGGTGCATGGCTTACTGGCTGCACCAGCATCCAGCTGTCTATCTGTATCTGGGTACCCTGGTCTTGGGAAGTTACCCAGGTGGATGAAGCAGGCACATGTCTGGTGTATCACAAGTGCTCATAAAGAGCTCATATGAATTGAGTCCCCACGGCCGGAGGAAGCAGGCTCTGGCTTTGTTAGAAGAGGACAGAGGCACAGAGATGAAAATCCGGGGCACACCGCCAACAATGGGCACCTCTGGAATCCCAAACCACAAGGTGGCTCAGGTCACATGCCTTCTGTTAATGGCTGCATTCCCCAGACTAGCCTGTCTGTAGGGAAGAGGGCACCCCGGTATGGTTGGAGGTCAGGGCACAGTAGCAGTCTCTGCCAAACAGAGTGGGCCTTGCCTCCTGAGGGTAGAGGCGCCCGAGATTGTCCAAGGTGGGATTAAGGGAGGGAGCTTCTCCGAGGAGGAGGTAAACTCAGAAAAAAAAAAAAAGAACGGAATGGGATGCAGGAAATAAACGGGGAGCCCTGTGACTGGGCGCGGGGGAGGGGGGACGATCTACTCAGCCTCTGGTCAGCCTTGAAGCCACACATTCGTTCCAGGGCCCTAGCTTTGCTGAACATGTTAGGGCCAGGGCGAAGACAGGACGATCTGGGAAGGCCTTGGGGAAACCCACAAGAATCCACACTCAGGAGCTACTACCCCCTACTTCGCCCGCCTCCCCGCCTGCCCCGGCCGCCACTGCTTCGGATCTCTTTTCCTGACCTCGCGCCCCTCCTGCTGGCAGTACTCGGCAACGCCCTGGAGCTGGGGCGACCTACCTCATCTCCACGCAGGCGTTAATATAGGCGCCCAGGTAGCACTCGCTCACTGCCTTTGATGCCAGAAAAGCTTTTTCAAACCTGGGGACGGGAAAGGATCATTCCTCTGACCTCGGGTCTTCACCCGCTTAGGCCCTCACCAGTGATGAGGGTCTCACACTCAGGCCACCAGTGGACCCCGCCCACTCCTGACCGGGTCATCTCCCACCCTTCCGGGGCTGAGAATGCCACCCGCACCTGGGCACAAAGAGGCAGAGCGCGCGCGCGCAGATCTGCAGGGTGGTGGCCTCCAGCTCCGAGGAGATAGCGCCGGCCGCCTTCACGTGCTCAGCCACGAGCTGTCAGGGACGCCACACGCTGAGCGCAGTTGAGTCTCGCACCCAGCCCACCCCTCTCTCCCTGCAGTTTTCAGCTGCCACAGAGTGAGGGTCACCTCCCCACTCCCAGAGTCCACCGGCAGAGCTGAGAGCTGTAACCTAGACTGACCATGTGCTTCAAGGGCCTAGATCACCCCACAGGTTCCCCTCTCATTATAACTTAGCTCCAAGAGATCACGACCACGTGCCTGAGGCCAGAACACAAGCCCCTCCTCAGCCCACTCCCGTGCGCACCATGTGCACGTCGATGGACAGGGACGCATGGTAGAGGCCCTGCAGCACTTCCAAGTCCTCGCCGGCTTCCCAGCGACTCTGCTCCAGTAGCAAGATGCTGTCAAAACAGCTTGTGATCTTTGTCTGTGGGGTTAGGAATGGGCTGCCGTGAGAAGCCTTCCAGGAGGAAGGTAAGGGCGCCCCCTGCCTTCCAAGCCCCGTTTTGCACCTTTAGGGACTAGCGTCATTGGACCCCAGGCACAGTCCAGGCCTGCAGGTACCTCCAGCACCACCCCAAGCCTCCTTCCTGCAGGACCCAGCCTCTGGAGCCCGGAGGGAGCCTCCCCAGCCTCACCTCTAGGAAGCTAGTGTAGTCACTTTCCAGGCGGGCCCACAGAGCAGGCTCTAGGAGTGGGGGCAGCGGTTCGGTGGGCAGTGCCAAGTCTGGGGCACCCAGGAAGTCAGGACTGAAAAGCAAGGTGGGGTGGGAGAGTTGTTGAGGACCTGGACAGGGTTCTGATGCTCTACCAGCTGCCTCCTCTCCCTAACCAGGCTCAAAGTCTAAAGTTATCATTAGGGCCCTGAACTCCGATTGTGTTGACACATTCCATTTCTCTACCCTCCAGAGGTCTATGCCATCACTTCCCTTCCCGGAAACTTCTGACGGCTGGGTTGGACTTCCTGGCACTCAAGCATCCAGCTGGGCCTGCTCAGAGTGCTTAAGGAGCTGTTCAGATGGACCTCTGCCAGACTGCCTCAATGTGACCTCTACATTCAAGACTGAGCTCTAACCAACACACACACACACACACACACACACACACACACACACACACACACACCCGCCACCTCCCCATCACCATCTAACCCAAATCAGGGTACCCCAGAATAATGGCCTGACCACAGCGATTTAAAGAGGCCAGGATTCTGGCAGCCCTCTCCATCATGTATTCTTCTCCCTTTGGGCTGGGGCAAAGCTGGGGCTCATTCATCTGGGGAACTAAAGCACCCTTGTTACAGCATGTACCAGGGATGGAAGCCCCCAGCAGGCTGCACTCTGCATGTGAATGCTCATCCAGAGGGAAAGCAGGCTGAACCCACACTCTGAGTGGTGCTCTGCCTGGAAAGCTGCCCTTTTCCAATGCAGCCACCTTATGGACTAGCATTGCTCTCTGGGGCTCCTGGCTCTGGTGGGAAGTGCACATGAGAGACTTTCTACCTTTGGGAAGCTGTAGATGCGTGGTCCCTTAGGAAAACCTGGGATGGGAGCACACAGCCTAGCACAAAAGAAAGAATGACAAAATCCCCATCTTCCTGGCGCCCCATCGTCTTTGCCAGAGAAGGATTGGGGAAGAAAGGTGCCCTGTGCTCTTGTAGTCGTTTCTCACGGTCTATTGGTGGGTGGTGGTACCCGCTCCTGCCTTAAGTACTGTATCTTAGGCCTCACCTGCCATACACATTGGCGGCCCAGTCTAACAGCACATAGAGCTGCTCACAGCCGCGGGCGTCTCGCGCCAGCTCCTGCAGACGCTGGGCCACTGCGTTGTGGAAGGCACGCAAGTAGGTCTCCCACACTGGAAAGTCAGTAGCTTCGTAAGCAGGCTGCATCTCTAATCGCACCCTCTGCAGGTCGCGGCGAACCACTCCACCGAGCTCAGCCAGAAGCTGGGCTAGGTCCGACGCGCCCTCCGCAGCCCCTGGGGGGACTTTGATGCCTGCCTGCTGCACGCGCTCCTGAGCGCTGCGCCGCACCGCGTCCTCCCAGTGCTGACGCCAGTGGCGAGGCGTACTCAAAAAGTCACCCTCGGCTTGGGAGGCCTGATGGGCCTCCTCTTCCAAGTGCACCACCTGGGCCAGTTCTGCTAGAGCGTCTCGATCCACGCCTTCGGAACCCAGCGCCTCGCGCACAATGGCTCCGATCTCCGCCGCCATTCCGTCGTAATGTAGGCAAAGGTCCATAGCGCGCCGCGCATAGGCGGTGGGGTCCTGCGTAAAGGTGCGAGAGGTTTTGTCTGCTACCAGCTGCGTCTCTAGGTACCGCAACTGTTCGAAGGCCTTCACTAGTTGCCGCTCGGTGATGAGGTCTGTCACGGATTTGCTTTCTGAAAGCGCGGGTAAGAAAGGGGTCAACGAGAGGGACCAACCCAGTGCCCTGGTACCAACTTAGACAGCTAGGTTGTGCTCAGAGCCTTGGACTGGGCTGCCTGACCACTGCTCAGATGTTCTGTGCGCAACTGAACTGCTCCGCCTGCCTGAAGTCCTTGCTTAGACTCCCGTTAGAAGGAACAGAATCAGGGCCCCAATCCTGACTGAAAACAACAATTTGGGGTGAGCTCCTGGCTGCGCCGCTATATGGGAGCCAGTACCTTCTATCTTGCACGGCCCCCCGCCCCCCATCTTCACTCCCATCTCTGCTGAGCTTGTCCTGGTGACCTCATGTGTGGCTGTAATTGCAGGTCTAATAGGTTCAGAGCTCAGCTGGGTGTGTCCTCCCCTAATGTCCAGAGTCAGCCTTTCTGCTGCCCTGCTCTCTGCCCGCACCACGTTCGAGTTCTCTACTGCTAGATCCCTTCTTGAGAGTCCAAGTTCAATTTATGCTTCCCTGAGCCGGCTCCCTAGCTGCCCTTCCAGGTAACAGTGGCCCCCATGAACCTCTGTGACCCTGTGGTCTGAGAGGATCAATGCCTAATACTTAGGATGAGTTTGCTCAAGAGGCCAAGCAGTGAAAGGCCATGAAGATCTGGGTTCAAATCTCACTTCTCTTTTAGTTATCTACAAGACACCAAGCAAGTCACTTAGCTGAGCCTGTTTTTTCTATTTGCCCAGTAGGTGTATTGGCCTTCCCTTGCTAGAAACTGGAAGAATTTGTGCAGAAGGCAGGATTTGGGTGAGTTAGGCTTCAAGGAAAGTGTGTCGGGATACAGCTCCTGTCCTCTCCGCCCTCAGCTTCCTCTCACAGTGTCATATGAGACCCTACCTGCCTGCGGTTCCAGATCCTCAGGATGGGTCCCAGTGGATGCCTGCCGACTGACACCATCTGTGACCTTGGAAGGCTTCTCTGTCACAGCAGTGACTTGAGGGTGCCCAGAGGTTAGACCTTCATCCAGGGCCCGTCTCAAGGACCGGAACAGGAAGCGGGAACTTCGCCTGAACAGGCCAGGGTCCTCCTTGGGTTTGTGGGTGGAAGCTCCCAGGCTGTTCCGGAAGAAGGTCCGCTTCAGGGTGCTCAGGCTGGGTTTCACTGTGTCCCCGTGGTGCATGCTTGGCTCTTTCATACTGTTGGACTTCCGAGTGCCCTGTGACTTCCCAGGCTGCTTAGGGCTTTGGAGTTCTGGCCCAGGGGTCACTGTTCCTGGCAATGGCATCTTGGCTGCAGGGAAGCTGGGGGTGAGAAGGCAGCTCAAGAGGCCTGGAGGGTGCCGGCCCAGGGAGCAGACACAGAACCCTGGGTAAGCTCTCTGGGGCTCAGTAGGACCCAGGAGTGCAGGAAGGCTTGATTTCTTCTATGGAAATGGAAGTGTCTGCCAGCTACTGGGCTGGCCGGAGCCTTCTGCCTGCCAGAGTGCAGCTGGATACAAACAGCAGAATGCCTCCCTGGTGCCTCCCCAGGAGGCTCTCTCCCAGGTGTCCACCTTTCACTGAGCCTGAGTAATTACCATCGAATTAGAAGGAGTGTTGAGCATGCATATTCTGGGAACCAGCCCAACCCACAACCCACAAGGGCAGGGTCCAGTACCCACATTCCAAACTTCTAGGATTTTAGATTCTAAGGCCAAAACTTCTCTCCATCCCTTCCTCCCACAGTCCCCCTTTATCCCCTCCCGAGACCTGGTCTCACCTCTTTCAGCACAAAAGGCAGGATCACTTCGGCTCAAACAGGAGCCTCCTTAAGAAGCATTCCCTTCCTAGACTCTGTGGAACTGGAGGAGGGTACAATGATGCCCTAGGGCCCTAGCCTCCCGGCACCCAGCCACTTATCTTCACCACACAGCCTGAAGGGAAGGTTGTGGGAGGGACTTCAGGTCTATATTTAACTTGGAGCTGAGGAATCCCAATATATTTCCTACCTGCTGCTCTTCCCCCTCTTGCCAACCCACACCCCCCCCAGCCTCACCACACTGAGCATGATAGTGGTCTCAGGAGCATGGGAGACATACACTGCTCAGGCCTCGGGCAGACACTGCCACCATATTCCCTTCCAGCCAGCAAAGCCTGACTGTTTGCTTTTCTGACCGTATGTTTAGCTAGGGGTGGGAGAGAAGAGACAGTCTTCCTGGCCACTGGAACCTCCTGCCCGCCACATTGTGCAAGCCAAACATGGGTGGGGGATGGTGTTGGGCCAGCAAGCTCTCCTATGCCTTCGGAGAAACTGAACCAAAAGAAGGCCTGGACTGGGCTGGAAAAAAAATGGCCCCGTGGTTAAAAGCATTAGTTGCTCTTACAAAGGACCTGGGTTCAATTCCCAGCACCTATACAGTGGCTCACAACCATCTGTAATTCCAGTTCCAGGGCAACCAATATGCTCTTCTGACTTCCAAGGGCACCAGGCATGCACATGGTACACAAACATACACGCAAGCAAACCACACACAGAGAACATAAAGCAAATAAATGAATCTTTTAAATAAATTAAATAAAGAAAGAAAGGAAGGAAGGAAGAAAGAAAGAAAGGAAGGAAGGAAGGAAGGAAGAAAGAAAGGAAGAAAGGAAGAAAGAATGAAAAGAAGAAAGGCTAGATGGAGCAGAAGCATACATAACTCTCAGCTCTCTTCAGGACTCCCCACCATACCAGGACAAATCCAAGAAGGAGCTAGGGCCAGACCCCTGGGTGAGTCAGGAAGGAACTGCCCTTTCCTGGGACTTAAGGTATGCTGGACAGGGGCCAGCCCCTAGGCTTTAGCCCTCCAGCAAGGTATCTGTCAGAGTCAGCTGAGGCCTACAGCTGGAGCTCCAGAGGCCACCAGGAGCTTCAAGGAAGCCCAGGGGAGGAGGGAGGCCCAAGTGATTGGTTGGGGCCTTATCAGCCCCACCCTGGTCACAGGTCATTATCCTGCCCTGGCACCCAGTTTAGTGACCCTGCTCCACACAGACCTGACCCATACATGGCAATCTCTGGCCCCCTTCCTCTAAGGGGCCTTTCAGTGCCTAGTGTGGGAGATGCCATCTGCCACTGATACAGGGGTGCTGGGAAAGGATAGGGTAGGTCCTGCCTTGGCTGGGAGAGTTCACCTTTGTTTACTAAGCACCCACTGTGTGTTCAGCCCGGTGCTGACACAGATCTGAGCCCCACAACAACGAAGTCAGGAAGTTTGATCTGCCCCATTTGAGGAACCCGAGGCTCAGAGAGGGGCACGGTCTAGCCTCAAGCCACTCAGCCTGGCCCAACCCTCCAGAAGGTAGGGACAAAGGGTGGTTGGTGTGGCAGTCCTTGCAAGGGAATCTGGGGACAGATTCTGGAGGAGGGACACCTGGACATGTGAATTTCACGGCAAGGTACAAGGAATCTTTGGTCTTTCTCAGGCTGCTCAACTACCCTCATATCAAACCAGACCTGCACCACAGGGCCATCAAAGCCACCAATCTGTGGTGGTGGTGGCTACAGCCATGACACTTTTGACTGCAGCTCTCAGTGGCTCCCCGGCTCCCCAAACCATTCTTGACCTCCCCCAATCCAAATGGGTCACTCCCTTGTTTTAAAACCTTTTGTGACTCCCTAGTACCTTCAAGCCATCCCAAGTCCCATAGCTGGGATTCGTGTGTCCCCCACCCCCAGCCCCCATTCTGGACTGATCTTTCTTTGCCTCACTCCTAGTCTACATGCTACTCACGTTAGCCCATGGGACCCCTTCCATCTTGCTGAATGTGCAGTTTTTGGTCCTCCGTCCCCCTCAACCCCATCCCGTCCGTCCGTGCTCCCCCCCCCCCCCCCCCCCCCCCCCCCGCCTCAAGTTGTGTCTCCTCCTGATCACCCTCCCTCTTTGGTCTCCAAGTCAGACCTGGCTTCCAGGACCCAGCGAGTCCCCTACCTCCAAGGAATTCTCAGCTTTGTGTCATCTGCTCAGTGGCCGCTCAGAACTGTTCCTACTGTGATAGAGCTTCTTCCAGACTTAAGAGTCTGTCTCCCTTCTCTTCCACCCTAGAGCACAATTTGGAAGTGTGAGTGGATGCCCCACTGGGCCAGCCTGTGGACTCCACCCCCATGCCTTCTCTGTGTTAGCCACAAGGCCCATCCCTGGCTCTCTCTCTGGTCCCCACTGCGGTCACTCTCTGACTGAAGCTTGCCACTAAACTCCAGGATCCTGCAGATCCAGGCCAGCCTGGGCCCCGGGGTTAAGTGACAGTCACAGCAGCATGGCCAGTGGCAGAGGCAGGGAAACTCACCGTGGGCCACTCCAGCCGTGACCATAAGCTTAGGGCTAGACTCCCCAGTTTCCCAGACTTACTTCTAACTTTTGCAAACCTTCCCTCTTGTACCAGCCCCCACTCTCTCAGTTTCCCTCCAGGACAACCACACCCTTCCTCCCTACCTGTGAGGGCTGGGCTGTCCCCTTTCCATCAAAACCCCAGGAACAACCACTGCAGCCACTGTGGCGCTCTTGCCTCAAAATGTTCCCTGCAAGGTAGGGGCCCTTTCCTGAAAAGATGGAACAGGACAAGAATATACAGTTTCAATCCTTAGCGTTCACCTGCGAGATCTAGTTAAGCCAACAAGACAAGGAAAACCAATAAAAGCTGCAAAAGCCAGAGAGGGACACAGTTCAGATTGCCGTTTTCATTGTTTGTATCTGTCTGCTTAAGAATCCCAAGGTTGGTTATTATGGGATAACAAAGGAGTTTGGTAAATTTCATATGTCGATTTTGCAAACACAACCAGTCTTATATGCCAGCCAAACCTATTTTTAAAAAGACACAGGCTCCCTTCACAGTTGCTAATATAAACACCCCTGGGTTGCCATCACCCCCAGGAGTACAGACTTCTTACCTTTGCATGCAAGGCCCTTTCTAGGGGTTGTCATGGGTTACCCGTCACTCTGTCACTCTCTTGCCCCTCTGTCTGCTCAGAATCATTTCTCCTCCGTGTTTTTGTGTGAGCTGCCCTTGCCTCTAGCAGTGACCTGAGCTCTTCCAGCTGCCAACTTCTCAGGGCTCTTCCTCTGAGAAGCCTTCCCTCATCAGCCGTCCCAGCACACAGCATAACCTAGATAGTTATGTGGTCTGAGATGTCTCTGCCATTTAACCAGGAGTCCCGGGGAGCACAGAATGCGCCTGGCTCAGACCCATGAAGGACCCATAAATGTCGGATGCTCGAGGAAAATGAAGGGGCTCTGACCTGATTGTGAACCTGTGGTACATCCACACTTAGATGAGCTTCAGCTTTACACATCTTCATGCTGGCCTGAGTGCCTCCGTGTGTGTGTGTGTGTGTGTGTGTGTGTGTGTGTGTGTGTGTGTGTGTGTGTGATTATTCTGTAATATGTGTGTGTCTCCCATGTCTGTGTGCTTATCTGCATGCCTCCTGTGTCTCTCTCCTTTCTGCAACCGCGTGCGACTGTCTACATATTTGGATGTGTGCAGATCTTTTGTGACTGAGCTGCCACTGTAGCTCAGCTGGCCTGGGCTTGGAACCCAGGCCTTTGACCAGAAAGGCCACTAACAGAGCCAGAGTAGTCTCTACCCACTGTCCCCAAACACTCTCTACCCTCCTGCCCCACCTGACTGGGTCATACCTGGTATGGGAGCAGACAACTGTGCCCAGGCAGCAGAGGTCCTGGGGAAGCCAGCCACGCAGGATCCTGAGGCCGGATCCAGGCTGGAGGCCTCCAGAACAGCCCAATTGATTACCAACAGCTGGGACTTCCCAGCCACAGGACCGCCCAGGCCCCCTCTCTCCTCAGACCCCATGCTTTCGCTTTCAGAAAAGTTCCGCCCCTTTCATTCCAGAGAACCACTCCAACCTTTGATCTGTCACAGCCTGGAGCTAGTCAGAGCCTGAACCAGAGCTCAACCTGGAGGGACTAGGAAGGGAGGTTAGGGAGGGCCTTAAGGGAAGCTGAGGAGGTGGAGATTAGTGGAGGAGAGGTCAGGGAGGTGGAGGTTAGTGGAGGATGGCCCTCTGTCACAGCAGTGGGCTGTTGGGGACCACTGAGGTACTGTTAGACCCTCCCACAGTCAGAGGCACACTAGATGGGGGGGGGCCCTCTAGTGCCCAAAACCCAGAAACACTCCTCTCTCCAGGGAAGGGCTCCAGCTCCAGGCCAGTCTAGGGAGTCCCACCTATGCTCGCCAGAGCTGAGAGGCAGAGGGCAGATAGGAAGACTTGTCGGGGAAGTTTCCTGGAGGAACAGGTATGAGCCATATACTGTCCCGAGAACTTCAAGGGCCGGAAGAAGGGGGCCCTAGGCACCCAGGGGGTCACACTCAGGACTGAGAAGCAGCCTTCTAGACAGAGGCAGTGCAGCAGCCACAGCGTCAGGGAGTGGCCGCTGTGAAGACTTTGGAACTCAGGGGAAATCCAAGGACACATTCAGGCCTGTCCCATCCTGCGCTGGATGTAGTGTGGATGCTCCAGAGTTACAGTATTGGGTGGTGAGAACACAGCACCACACAGTTATATTCTCTCCG